ATCAAAATTCCAAAGATAATAAATACAGGGTAAGCAAATCAATCTTAAAATGCATATGGAAACACAAAAGACCCTGAAACACCAAAGTGATTCTGAGCTAAAAGAGCAATGTTTGACTTCAAACTATACTATGAGGTCTTACAACAAACAGCATGGCACTGGCACCAAAACAGACATGTAGACCACTGGAATATAGTAGGGGATTAAGAAGCAACGCAAGCAGCGATTGCCATCTGATTCTTGACAAAGAAGCAAAAAAAAATGACTAAAAGACAGCCTCTTCAACAATGGAAAACCGGGTATCTACATGTAGAAGACAAAGACTATATCACCCTGTACAAAAATAAACTAACGTGACCAGAAACCTTAATGTAAGACTTGAGTCTTTGAAACTACTAGAGGAAAACATAGAGGAAATGCTTCATTATCTAGGCATAGGGAATGACTTTCTGAATAGGACGCCAAAAATTTAGGAAACAACAATAATTGACAAATGGGATTCAGTACAGAAAAGTTTTTGTACTGAAAAGGAAATAATTACCAGAGTGATGAGATAGCCTACAGAATGGGAGAAAATCTTTGCCAGATATTCATTCTACATGGGATTAATATCCAGAATATATAAAGAACTCAAAAAATCAAACAACAAAACAACCATAATCTGATCAATAAATTGGCAAAAGGAACTGAATAGACCCTTTGCAAATGAAGAAGTACAAATCGTTACTTAATATACAAAAATGTTCTACATACTTAGCTATAGGGAAATACAAATCAAAAGTACACTTAAATTCATCTCACCCCAGTCAGAATGGGGTGACAGCATCAAGAAAACAACAAAAAATGTTGGCGAGTATGTGGAGAGAAAAGGAGCCCCTATTCACTGTTGGTGGGAATGTAATTTAGTCCAGTCACTACGAAAATCAGTATGGAGGCTCTCAAAAAATTAAAATAGAACTCGCGTATGATCCAGCCATATCACTTTTGAGTACATATCCAAAAGAAGCAAAGTCAGCTAACTACAGAGATTCTTGTATACCCATGTTTATTGTGGATTTATTCACAATAGCCAGACTATAGAATCAGCCTAGGTGCCAATCAATGGATAAATGGATAATGAAAATGTGGTATTGTTTCTACACACTATGACAAAGTAGAATGAAATTGCGGTATTTGCTAGAAAAACAGATGGCACTGGAGATCACTGAGCTATGTAAAATTATCAAAACTCAGAAAGACAGATGTTGCATGTTTTCTCTCCCCTATGTAATCTAGGACACAAGAGAACATGAGTGTAAAAAGGAAATTATTAGTGATATGGAAGAGAAGGGAAAGGTGGAGGGAAGGAGGAGAAAGAGCAATGGAGAAGGTGAATATGATCAAAGAACATCTTATGCATGTGTGGATGTCATGACGAGAACCCTTTGTACAACTGTGTATGCTAATAAAAATTTCAAAAAGAAAACAAACAAAGTTTCACAAGCAAGATTTTTAAAAGACTAGGAAGTCCTTTAGAGTACAATGGAATACAAAGATCAATTATATGCATGTTTTGTTCCTTACAAGTCAAAAAGGATTCCTTTATAGTTATGCTAACTGGCCTTCTTTGTCAGTGTGTGTTATTATTCACCACTCTGATCCTCACTTGACTAAAACAGAAAAACGGAGTGTGACCATTTGATTAAAATATTCCTTATAGTCCCAGTCTTTCACTGATGAAAACACTCACTTTAATCAGTTTAACTCTCTCTGTCTCTCTCTCCTTTCCTCTCCCTTCTCTCTACATCTCTCTGTCTCTCTCTGTCTCTCTCTCTCTCTCTCCAGACCCCTAGATCTTTATCTCCACCTCCAGTGCCACTTGTATCTGTGAATATCTCATCTATGTCTGTGTGTGTGTCTACCTTCATTTCCATGTGTGCCTATCTATATCTGTGTCTGTATCTACACCCATATCTGTCTCTACTACCTACTTACCTGAACCACATGCAGTCCGTCTATAACTATGTACATCACTACATCTGCACCTCTGCTGCATCTGCACCTACAGCTGTTCACCCTCTGCACACGCTCAGGACCTGTTTCTCAGGAGAGCCCAGCCACACGTTCTTTGTGAGGCTGCATGCTCTGGTAGCAATCGTGTCATTTATTCTTAAAGACATTCCTTTCTGTCTCCCGTGGGCGTGTCTGATCATCTTACATTTCACTGTTCCTGGCTTTGGTGTCATTCTCAGGAAGCACTTATTTACCTAAAGGGACGTGCATTTTCCCAGAATTCATTCTGGTTGATTGTACATTGGTATCCCTGCTGGGTCTTAATTTGAGAGTGGGATTTGGTTTCTTTTCTTTCATTCTCCCAATGCTGTTTTGGGGTCTTTTGTGTCATCTAGAATAAACTCAGCAGCTCAGAGCTAGCCATAGTCCAGAGTTGAGAGCAGGGCCTCAGTTGGAGACCTGTAGGCCCTGGGAGGACTTCCACTGGATACCATGGCCTGGCTTCGGCCTAGGTCCCATAGATAGGCCTCACCCCCAAGGTAAGGGGGACAGGCTAACACCGTTCCCCAAAACACCAGTAGAGGGGCTTTCTGGCCCCAGACAGGTGGGTCTCCACAACTAGAGCAGGGCTGTCAAGCCCTTGATTTAGGTGTGGGAGGGTGCCTGTGTCCTGTTTGTCACCAGCCTGGAAACAGATGGCTCTGCCCCAAGTGCCGCCTGAGACAGGTTGTCCCACAGCTCTGGTGCTGAAGCCAGTGAGCTGTGAAGCTTGGCAATGGCCACAGCCCCATGTCACAAGGCTGAGTGATGGCCTGTGGTTTTGGTGCAGGGAAAGGTGCAAACCCACAGTCCTGTGGAGGTCTGGGGCCATCTGGCCATCACATGTCTGCACCAGATAGATTTCTGAAGTGGGCAGGGATCAACTGACACCTCTGTGTGTGAAAAGGGAAGTTGTGTGTGAAAACGGCTCTCTGAGTTCTGAGGAAGTGGTGAAGGCAGATGAAATCACAATGGCGAGGCTGGGGGCAGGGCGTGCAGAGGTTTAGGGAGTATGGAGGCTATGTGTGATGAGTTGGGGCCCTGGATGTCTGCGTTGTGAAGGCCATGAGTGTCACAGCTTAATTTTTATCAGTATGTAAATACTAACCTTTTGGACCAAACCAGTGCTCTGGGCAAGCTGTGAATCTTGGGCCTTTGTGCCCCACATCCTCTCTGGCCACCCAGGGGCCTGCAGATGGGGTTCTGGCACTAATGCAATGCCACAAGGAAAAGCCAGGAGCCACCTCTCTGAGGACAGTGGAGGACAGCTGTGATCACTCAGCAGGGTCCCTGCTAGTGAGTTGACCTGGGGTCAACTCTGGCCGGGGGCCAAGCCAACCCCTCCCTCTGGCCTGCAGGCTGTGTGACCACTGGCTGGCCAACCTGGTCATTTTGTCATTTGTTCCTTCATTCTTTCATTTGCTCATTCATTCACTCACCCATTCATCTGGTTCTCCTTGGTGCCAGGTGTGTGTCCTGTCCTTGAGCCAAAGTGGGAAGCAGATGGACAATGACTATGACATGTGAGAGAGTCCATCGTGGCCAGAGGATGAGCAGTTGCCACTACCTTGCAAGGGGCGGTGGTAGGGTGGTGTTGGTGCTCTGAGGACTAGCGTGGGAGTCCAAGGAGGTGGGCAAGACCTGTGGTGCTGGAGTGGCCCAAGGTTCTAGGCAAGCCAGGCCTGAACAGGTTTAATTTCTTTCTGGGTGCAGTTGGCAGATGACATTTTGAAAGAATACTGGCCTTGGGTTGGGGATGGGGCTTATTCAGAAATTGAGGGGTCATCTGGAGTTTGGGGATGATGGATTGAGATTGAACCCCATGATGGATAGCCTGAAGGAGAGAATGGGTGGTGGAAGGTGGGAAGGGGTTCCTGAGGTGGAGAAGAACACTGTGGTCTTGTTGAGTGACTTGGTAGGTGACAGTCATTCCTAGAATGGCAGGGAGAGAACTTTTCAGAAGGAATCATGTTGGGAAAGAAATCAGTCAAATCTTTGACAGGTGTAGGTGAGGGTGTCAGAAGAAGAATCTGTGATTCCACAAGTCAGAGTTGTGCATGTGCCAGAGGCATCCTGTGATAGAGGGAGAGTCATGTGTCCTTGGCTGCTGAAAGAAAGCCAATTTGTTCTGGACATCTGTCCTCTTATGGTGCTGGAGGCAGAAGTCTAAGGTAATTTCAATGGACCAAGATTAAAGAGTAGGTGTTCCCACTTCTACCCCAGCCTCTAGGTCAGAATCTACCCCTTCCTTTGCACCTTCTGGAACTGCATTTGTTGCTATGTGGCCTTTTCTTCTATCTCCATGCAGTCTGTGGCTTTACTGTCACATCACAGTATGTCAAGTCTCCTGTGGCCTTCCTCTCAAAAGGACACTTGTGATAACACTAAAGGCCACCTGGGACCCCCACCTCAGGGTCCTTCACTCAGTCACATCTGGCTGTGGTGTGAGTATATGTGTGTCAGTGTATGTGAACATGTGAACCCATGTGTGTATGCTCACACACATGCATTTGTATGCAGTGTTTGGGATGATTGGTGACATGTGTGCATATGAATGAGTTATACACAGGTGTACATGTACACACGTGTGGGCAGATGTGAGAGAAAGAGAGAGTGCTAGTGTGGGAGGGGAGGAGGGTTTCAGCTGCTAATTTCAGAGAAGTTTTCCTTAGTATGTCAGCTGGCACTGCAATCATTCAGTGTGTGAGTTCTCTCACTGTTTGTCTTCAGTTTCCTGTGAGCTTTGACTAGAGGTAATTGAGATTGTGGGGACAAACAATCAGGAGGCAAGCAAAATGAACCAAGCATGTTTATGGGGGAGGGATGCAGGGGGCTGCAGCGCTCAGGGAGGCACAGGATGGTGCTGGTCAGGGCCAGGCAGTAGGGTGTCCTGCTGACTTCCAGCTGAGGACTCTCATTCTCCTGGGCCTGTGAGACTGGGTGGATAGAAGGGAGCTGAGAGGTGGGGCTGGAGAATTTCACTACAGGGTGCCCGGGGTGGGTCCTCTTCATACACCCCCTCATTGAAGCCAAGCATCCCTTCTGTGCATCTGCAGGAAGACTTCTCTCCTGGGGCTACTTGACCTAGAAAAGAGAGTCCTGGGGTCAAAAAGTGAGTGCAGAGGAGCGGAGGAGGGGGACAGGGCCCAGAGGCAGGCAGTGTCAGTGACCACCAACACATGGGCTGGTGCATCCCCCATGCTTCCCTCTGTCCTGCTCCTGTTCTTCCCATTATCCTGAATGTGACTCCAGAGTGACCCTTGGAGATGCATGTCGTCCATCTCCATTCCCAAATGGAGGGACATCAAGCCTGGGAGCACCCACCTTGATGAAGGTGACAAAGCCACTGTAAAGCAACGTGAGGAGGAAGAGCGCCACGAAGGTGCACAGGGTGGGCCACAGGCCGCCCTCCTCCTCCAGGTCTGTGTAGTCATCGCTGTTCTCATCCTTGCTGTGTGGGGTAAGGGGCTTGGTGGTGACTGGTCCTGGGGAGGAACCAGCGCCAGGTGAGAAGGTCCCTGTCCTGTGGGCAGGGCTGCCTCTCACCCACCCACACTTGGACAGCACTGACCTGATGTGCAGCTCTCCCCTTGAGTGCCATCCTCTGTCTCTTTGGCAAACATCTACAAACTGCCATCCCCCCCTTGCCTGCACTGGGTCCTGGGAGCTGTGCCAGGTGGGCAGAAAGACCTGAACCCAAATTTTCTGTGAATAAGTCTATATGGTGTCTCAATGAGGGTGTGGGGAGGTGGGTGGCGCTTAAGTGGACCTGGAGCTGGCCAGCGAAGGCTTGCTCAGAAAGTGGCTACTGAGATGTGGTGTGAAAGATAAGATGGTGTTAACCAGGTAGACAGGAGGGAACAGCATTCCAGGGAAGGAGCAGTGTGCACGGTGTCCTTATTGAGAAACAGCCTGGCCCCAGGAGGAGGGAGGGGAGCCCCTGACCTGTGGTGGGTGGAGGAAAGACCTGGCAATTGCCAGGCCATGGTGACTCTATCTTAATGGCAATAGGGAGGCAGTGACAGGAAAGATGTGTTGTGAACACAGGAACCTTGTGACTGGCCAGTCTTCTTTCATCTGAAGACTGGAGTGTAGCCTGGGCAATGTGTGGAAATTGCTGATGTCCAGGACCAGGACAACACTTACACAGGAAGCACACCCAGACTGTGGTGCAAAAACTGGTAGCAAGTGAGAAGAACTGACAACAACCATTGAAAGTCACAACACTGCCTGGTGCTCACTCCACAAGTGCTTTTTGAGGTTGTGCCACCTGCTCAACCACAGCCACACTGGTGGGCCTATGGTATGCTGGTCCAGGGCCACTCCATAGGGGATGGACTGGCCTAGGGCCACTTCACAGGGGGTGTTCTGATCCAGGGCACTTCACAGAAGATGGGTAGTGAATACAGAATTCATGGGAGCCCTGGAAACTTTTATAGTATCCTGTTAGATCTACTAATAAAAAATCAGCATACAGCAGTTCCTTTATCCTTGGTTTCCATGATTCCAGTTACCTACGTTGTGTGAGAATATTAAATGGAAAATTCCAGAAATAAACAATCCACCCGTTTTATATTGCACACTGCTCTGAGCATTGTAATGACTTGCACCTTGCACCATCCTGTTTCACTGCCTGGGAGGGGAACCACCCCTTTGTCCAGCCTTCCTGCACACTGTCCATACTGCCCATCCATTAGGCAACCTATCTTGGTCATAGGTTGACTATTGAGGTGTCACAACACTTATCAATGGCTTGGCACCACCTGGCTTTCAAGTGTCCACTGGGGGTCTTGGAATGGATTCTTGTGCATAAGAGGTGATGAGTTTATCTTTGTTGCCATTCGTTTTATTTTCAAGTGATTAATTTTCATTTTAATTTACAAAGGGTACTGCTTCACAATGAATCAGAAATTTAGAAGAGAGCAACATCCCTTGCTATAGGTAGTGTGAGATACCTATAATACAAGGGCAAATGGTCCAGAGGTAAGTCAGACAGCTAGACATGATTGCCATTCAGTACAGAATGGGCTCTAACTAGATGAAGAGCAAAACAGTGTACCCTCTGGGAAGGCATCTGACCCAGACAGAGGTCACAGGGGTCCCCCAGGAAAGCCTCAGACTCATGAATGATGGTGGAAGGTGGCTGGAGGAGGAGGGCAGGAGGGCTCTCCTGAAGGAGAATCAGCTTTGAGACTTGTGAGACTTGTGAGAGAAGTCATGCTGCATTAGTACTCACATAGGCCTGGGGTTTCCACCTAAAGCAAAGGGAGACATGAAGAGTTTTAGCTAGTATTACAGGATCACTATTGAGTTTTTTCTTCTTCTCCTCTTACTTTTTTCTTCTTTTTGTTCTACTCCTCTTCCTTCTTCTTTTTCTTTTTCCTCTTCTTTTTTTGATACAGGGTCTTACTATGTATCCCACACTGGCCTCAGACTTGAGATCCTCCTGCCATCACCTCTTACAGGCCTGCACCACCACACTTGGTTCAGTGTTGTTCTCAATCCCAACATCTAATTATATTTACTGTTTATTATCTTGATTATGGGTGATATTTTTTCTGCTGCATTGCATGTCTTGTGATTGTTAATTTTATGCTGGACATTGTGCACAAATGAATATTTGGGTCTGGAGTAGAATACAGGTATTTATTTTCCACATAGTGAACACATGCTCTGTCTGTGAGGCAGGGAAGGCCTTTTCATTCTTAGCAGGAGCTGAGCTGGGGTGAAGCTGGGGGAGCATAATTGGCTTCTGGCTATAAGTGGTTTGAGATGGGGCAGGACTGTCCATCCAGTGGGGCTTTGGGGAGACAAGATCTGCTGTTTCCAAGCTCTGTTCCCAGGGACTGTATTCTTAGCAGAGTCCTATGTAGGAGAATTGCAGGTAGGGGTTCATTTGGCATTTGGTCTCTTCTGTATTCCTATCCCTCTTGTAACCCCATAATACATTAAAATTTTGGATGATTCCTTGATGTTGTCTTACAGATGTCCCAGTACCCTGTTTTCTAGGACAAGGCAAAGAATGGGGCGGGGGTGGGGGGGCGGTGGGAAACCACTGTCTTCTCACTGGTGAATTTAAGTCAGCAGGACTTCACTGACTCCTCAGCTATTTAGTGGCTTTCAATAAACTTACAATGTTAAAAGTAGGTTTGTTGTGGCATGAGTGACTGATTGCACTCTTTTCCACATGCCTGGAAACACAGAGCAGATGTGCAGATTAAGAGATCACCTTGGCTACTGTGATGGATGGGTTGGAGGGATCAAATTGGTTGCAGAGAGACCAGTGAGGCTATTGTGATAATCCAGGTGAAGGACTGGGTGGGGCCAGTGCCAAGAAGCAGGAAGATTTGTGGTTCTCAGGAGTTGGGGGTGATGGAAGGTGATGCCCCTGGTTCTGTGTGGCACTTAGGCTGATGTGGATGTCTCATGAGATGAGGAACATGGAAAGAAGGGCAGGATGAGGGATAGAGAGAGAGGATATGGAGAGGCAAGTGTAGGATGGCCTTTGTAAGGTTGTTTTCTAATGAAAATAATGACCTCAAGTGCCATGCTGGCTGCTGAGGGATGCCTATGTCCAGACCTCCTGAGAGTGTTGCATGATTCTGGGAAGAGGGAACCAATGCTGGACTGACTTTAGAACCAAGATGGAGTGGCCTTTGGAGCCACTGAGAGTAGATCTAGAGAGAGGCAGGTGATAGGGGAGCGATGTCAAAAGTGAAGAGGGAGAGCTGACCCAGGACAGGTACAGGACCAGTCTGTTTCAGGACCACAAGGCTGCCAAAACATGTCAGGAGTTGCTGGCTGGAGGAGGGGGTGCCTATGAAAGGCATCAGATCCTTTCAGGATGCACTGGCATCTTCAGTCAGTGCAGTGAAGTGGTTGACAGGGCTGGGTGAGGGTGTGCCTACATGGAGGAGGACTTTCTTCTGCAAGGGCCCTGGGGATCCCAGGGACCAAGCAGCAGATCAGAGCTTCTGGAGCAGGAGCTGGTAGGGGTTTGACATATCTGGGCCTGGTCTGGCCTCCTATAGCTGCTTCAGTCTGCCTTGTGTCCAAAATGAGGACTGTGACCCATCACCACTAGCTCACACACCTCACATCTGCAAATGCCTGCACACCTTGCTTTGTCCCACACATACTATATGCAGGACTCCTAAGTTGACCTGGTTGGAACCTTCCAGCCCAGCTATGCAAGGCTCACAGTGCCCCAAGTCAAGGTCCTGACTGCTACCCAGACAAAAGAAGGAAATGAAGCAGAGGTGGCCCTGTCTCCAGGTCTGATGGCACCAAAAGAGCCAGCATCCTCCTTGAAGGACCAAACATGACAGTCACAAGCAGAGCTTGGGCTCTCCATCAAGGAGCTGGAAGGCACTGGTGTATGCTTCTGCATCCCAGGTGTATAGATGTATATTCATTTGCATGCCCCGTAGTACTGACATCCGGGGCTCTGGAACCTGATGGTCAGTTTCCAGGCCAAGCCAGGTAGATGGTCCAGGCTCAGCTGTGACATACCAGGATGGCTGGTCAGTTAGGTTTGGGAAGAAGATCACATGGACCAGGCCCTCAAGGATCCTTCTGGGGAGGGGGTCCTTCCTGTCTACTCAGTGGAGGAAAGATTGTTAGGGTCAGGGGCTGCATGTCAGTGGTGAGGAAGGAAGCCACAGCCTGTGGTTGAAGGTGCAGAGAGTGTCTACGGGGGTGGGGGCACGGGATGGCAGTCTTGGTGTGAGTGGGTGGCCAGAGGTAGGGTTGGAGCACCAGGAGAGACCCTTTGGTTGAGAGACAGAGGGGACTGAGGAGCAGCTGCTTCTCAAGGGGCCCTTACAGATCAGGATGGGCTTCTGCCTATGAGGATAATCACCACTGTCAGGCCACCTAGGCAAGGCAGGTGGAGTCAGGCATGACCTACTCCTGCCCCTTGCTAACGAGGTGTCTTATTTCCTGGTTTCTGTGGGCCTGGATTCTGGCTCAAGTTCACACCAAGCTGCCTCTCCTACTGCCTCCTTGACCAAGGGACTGGGCACAGGTGGCACACACACTGGGTCACGTCTGTCCCACCGGGGCTGTGCTGGCAGCAGTAGGGACGCTGTTCTGTGTGCCATCTCTCTGGGCAGCAGAACCTCCTGTGAGGCTCAACCCTAGTCTTGGAGGGCAGGCCATGGACTTGACTGTGAGGGCCCCTCATGCTGGGGACTTTACTGCCCTCTCCAGCCCCTCTGAGCAGTGTGTGGTCAGGGCCTGCCATGGCACTCAAGATCTGAACTGTCACCTGTCACTGGGTCCATGCCCTCACTGCTGCTCTGTGGTCCTGGACCCTGAGATGGGCAGGCAGCTGTCTAAGGTGACCACACCCATGTTCACCCAGCAGAGGTCCTTGTCTGGGGCCATCTTGATCAGAAATGGCCATTCCTCAGGAACTGTCCTTGCAAAATATCCACCCTGTGCTGGTCATCCTGGCCTAGTACACAATATATGGACAGGAAGGGGAAACCTGGCTCCTGCTAGGCCATCGAGGCTCAGGAGTTTGAGAAAGCCTGTTCTCACACCAGACATGGAGAAGGGAACTAGAGAAGGACAGGGGCTCTGAGCAGGCCGTTGCCGTAAACCTAGAGGAAGATAAGGGCTCCTCCATCCTGGCCTCCCCGCCCGAGCCTGTCCAGTGATCCCTACCTGGGTATGACTCATCAACAGTGTCCAGGATCTTGCTGGCATTGAGCATGGTCCGGGAGGCCTCGTGCCTCACCACACATGTGTAAGTGGCCGGAGAAGTCCCGGCAGTGGCTGGGAGGCGCAGGATACTCCAGCTCCGGAATGTCTTGTTCCCAGCCTGGGCCATGGGGTGTGTGGAGGCAAACCAGGAAGGATTCACCTCTCTCTTATCTTCCAGCCACATCAGGAGGATGTCTGGAGGAGAGAAGCCAGACACCTCACACAGCAGCCATGAGGCTGTCTCTGCAGGGACCGACATGCTGAGAAGGCTGATGGAGAGGCTGCTGGGAGCCTTGGAACCTGCAGGAGAAGAAACTTATCACACTGGGACTTGAAGGATCGTGAGAGAAGCTGGTTGCCTGACTGACAGCAGTTCTGACATTGTTCTGACTGCAGTGTTGGTCAGGGCACTGAGGGAGCCCAGGTGGCCAGGGTGGGAGAGGGGGTGGGCTGGACACTGGGTAGTCCTGGGGGGAAGTGGGTGTCTGTGGGGCACTGGGAAGCCCTGTTCCCCACCTGAGAGTCGTCTCACCTTGTTCCTTCAGTGCTGTCAACACCTTGTGAGACACTAGGCTGGGATGGGTCAGTGTGCAGTAGACAGGAGTTCCCTTGTTCCACATGGACCTGGTCAGGGTCAAGTGACTGCTCATACTCTGGGAGCCATTGACCAGCTGTTTCAGTGACTCTTCCTTCACACTGTGGGTTTGGGGTACCCCAGCCACCTTCCAGGATAGGTGGGCCTTCTGAAGGTCATCTCCCACCACAAAGCAGGTGTAGATGGCCTCCTCCTTCAACCACAGGTCCTTCAGGGGAGGGTGCAGCAGGTAGATGTGGGGAGGGCAGGGGTGGCTTGAACACTCTGCAAGGAGAGGGCAGACGGAGAGTCACAGCAGCTCTTTTGGGAGTGGCACACTTCCTCTGCTGGGCTCCTGGGGCTTGGTGAGCAAAGGCCCACACTGTGGACAGTGCTTCTCCTAGTCACTTTCCAACCCCCAGGGCTTCCTAATGTCCCCTGAGCAGACCCAGGCCTTTGCTGCTTTGTGTGGCCTCCTGTCAGTTGGGTGGAGACTCACTGCAAGCCAGGTTTTCTTTGGAGCTTCCTTCTGTTCTCCCTTCCCCCACTCTTGTGTTCTGAGGGGCTGACCTGGGCTTTCCATCATCCCAGCTTTTATCTGGGAGTAGCCAGGAGGCACTACAGACAGGTGGGTAGTGGTGAGATAGCGCTTTCCTCCCTGCTCTAGCTTTGGCAGGACACATGTGGTCAGGCTGTGGTCACCCTGGAGTTGCAGAGGCTGCTTTGGACTCTCCTGTGGATCCCTGGGACCCTCCCTCAGCCTGTGAGGGTAAGGGCACCTGTCTTACTGGGCTAGATGTGGCACCCACCCACTCAGGTGCTAACAACCCCTCACATCTTAATTGTGGCCTCCTCACGCTCCCCATGGGTGTCCCCTGGTTCTATCAGGAACACTGACTGGCCTTTTGGAGGCTTGTAGAGGTCAAAGTTTCTCTGTGTTCAATGACATTCTTATAATAATTTCTTCTATAGCCCAGGGCTTAGACAGTCAGTAAGTTACTGGGCCATAGATTTGTAATAGAACAGGAGTCAGTCAAAATCTGAAGGTCTCTGCCTCCTTCTCTTCTTTTTCTTCCTCTTTCTCCTTCTTCTTTTCTTGAAAAGATTTTAGGTCACAAACATTTTGTATCTTTTTGATGTGTAAAAGGTTGTTCTGAAATACGTATACATTGTGGAATGGCTTAACTGAGCTAACTAACACATGCATTACCACACATACTTATAATCCATTATCAGCAATTTTCAGGAGCACAATAAATACATTATTTTTGATCATGGCCACCATCTTGTACAACAGAACTCTTGAAGTCATTCCTTTCTAATGAAACTTTGTATGTATCCTCTGACCAAGTCTCCCCCGTCCCCTTCGCAACCATCATTCTACTTTCTACTATAATTTTACTTTTTTTAGGTTCTAAATGTGTGGTACTTGTTTTCCTATACCTGGCTTATTTCACTTAATGTAATGTCCTCCAGGTTCATCCATGTAGCAAATGACAGGATTTCCTTTCTTTAATGACTGGATAGAATCACATGATGTATATGTATCTTTCCTTTATCCATTCCTCCTTTGACAAACATTTAGGATATTCCATTCCACAGAACTGCAGTGAATATTGATTTCATTTCTTTTGAGTTTATACTCAGAGGCAAAATTTCTGGGTTGTATGGAAGATCTATTTTTAACTTTTGGATAATGTCTCTGCTAATTTACATTCCCATCAACAGTGTGCAAGAGTTCCTTCTCACCCTAGCACTGGTTATCTTTCATGTTTTGATAGCAGTCATTCTAGCAGGTGTTTCTTTCATACAACTTTTTCATATAGTGCTTAGCTATTTGTATGTCTTCCTCTGAGAAACATCTATGTACATGCTTTTCCCATTTCAATAAGATGTGTGGTTGGTGAATATTTCTTTAAATCCACAATGTCTCTTTACTCAGTTGTTTCCTTTGCTGTGCAGGGTCCTGGGGCATTTGTGATCTTTCTTCTTTCCTGTAGGCATTTGTTTTGCTATATACTTCTGGTTCAGAACTGCTTTTATTGCTATCAGTAGTTTTGGGCATGTTGAGTTTCTCTTAAGAAATTTTGAATTTCTCTTTTAAATGTCTTCTGTGGCCCACAGTTATTCCGGATCATGCTGTTTAATTTCCACTTGCTTGTAAAGTTCCTCAGTGTCTGCTGTTATTGACTTTGAGTTTTATACTGTTGTGGTCAGAAGGGAAACTTGGAATGCTTTCTCGCTGCATAAACTTGTTTGTACATGTTTTGTGGCCTGACAGATCAACGCTGTATAGTGTTCCAAGTGCTGTGAGGAGAATGTGTATTCTACAGGTGATGGGAGAAAGGTTCTGTAAATGTCTGTCAGGTCCACCTGGTCTGGAGTGCAGTCCAAGTCCAGTGAATCCTTGCTGATTCTGTCTGGATGATCTGTTCAGTGTTAAAGCGGGACACTGAAGTCCTCTGTTAGTATTGCATTGCAGTTCACCCCTCCTTGTAGATTTGTAATATCTGCTTTGTGTATCGGGGGCTCTGGTGTTGGATGCATCTACATTTACAATCACTACATCCCCTTGCTGAATTTACCTCTTTGTCATTATATAATGGCCTTCTTATCTATTTTCACAGTTTTTGACTTCAAGTCTATTTTATCTGATACCAGGATAGCTTTCCCTGATGGCTTTTGGCTTGTCTTTGCACAGAACATTGTTTTCATCCATTCACTTTCAGTCTTTGTTATTTTTGACCATTTTGACTTTTATCCTTCATTACAGAGGTGTGAGAGATTTACATAGCATCATTAGAGTCCTGGAGTATTTTCAGTGTGATCATAAATAAATAATAAATAAGTTTGCCTCAACCAGAGAGTTTATAACTTCCTGTGTTTATCCTGACAGCAATCACTGTCCTTTTGCTTGCTTGTGTAGCACTCCCTTACACATTTCTTTCTTTTTTTGGTGGTACTGGAGTTTAAATTCAGGGCTTCATGATTGCAAAGCAGGCACTCTACCACTTGACATTTCTTATAATGCTGGTGTCATGGTTTTAAATTCCTACAGCTTTTGCTTGCCTGGAAACATTTTATTTTTCCTTTGCTTTGGAAGGATAATGTAGCTAGGTATAGTAGTCTTGATTAGCAGTGGGTTTTCTTTGTTTGTTTGTTCCTTTCTTGCTTGCTTTCTCTCTCTCTTCCTCCCTCCCTCTCTCCCTTCCTTCCTTCCTTCCTTCTCTTCTATCAGTCTGTCTCTCTCCCTTTCTTCTTTCTTTCTTTCCTGGCCACAAGGTTTGTACTGAGAAAATTTCTGGTAGTCTATTGAGAATTCCCTTACATGTGATGTGCCCCTGTTTGTCTTGTGGATTTTAGAATTCCCTCTTTGTCCTTGACTTTTCACAATTTGTCATAATATGTCAAGATGAATACCTTTTTGGGTTGAGTCCATTTGGGAACCATTGAGCCTTCTGTATCCCAATGTCTTTATCTCTTCAAACACTTGGGAAGTTTTCAGCTATTTTCTTTGTAAGAGTCTTTTCTGAAACTCTCTCCATCTCTTCTCCCTCTAGAATTTCCATGTTTCCTTATTTTTTTCTTATGCTAATTTCTTTTTTTCCTCTGTGTGTGTTACTTCAAAAGATCTGTTTCAAGTTCAAAACTTCCTTCTTCTTCTTGATCTAGTCCATTATTGAAGCTCTCTATTATGTATTTTTTATGCATTGGATTCATTAGCTTCAAGATTTCTGTTATTTTTCTTGAAGAAATTTTTTAATGATAACCTGTCACTTGGTTTCTAATTCAGTTCACAAATTCTTTTCCTGATTTCATTGAATGGTTAGTCTGCATTCACATGTACCTCACAAAGTTTCCTTCAGATAATTGTTTTGAAGTCTTTCCCAGGCATTTCTTCCTGGAAAATTATTGCATTGTCATTGGAGGTTTCTTACTTCCTTGCTTTTGCATGTTTCTGTGCTACTACATTACTATCTGTGTGCAGGTGGAACCGTTGCCTCTCCCAGTCTGCACAGCAGATTTTGTAGGGAAACATACTTTCCTGTGTGTAGGTCCTATGATGTCCCTTGAGCAGGGTTCACAGGCTTTGGTCTGGGTAGGAACAGTAAAGTAGTCTCTGTAGGGTCGTCAGCTGTAATCCATGTTAGTGATGTATGGAGTTCCCCAGTGGTATAGGCTGTGGGAAACTGTGGCAGCGGTGGACAACACTGCTGAGGTCAGGACATTGGGCTGGTCAGGCCAAGGGGGCTTGTGCACTGCAGGCTGGCCACACAGCAGGCTCAGGCTGGCTAGAGTCATGAATCACGAACTTCTCCAAACAAGGCTCCTGGTTAGCATCTTCTGGAGATGGCAGACAGGGTGAAGGTGGAACTAGAGCCTAACTGGGACCCAGTACTTGGGGACAGTGGAGCCGAGAAGCAGAAGGAGGTGAGACAGTTCCTGCTGCTGTCCTGGCATCTGGTTGCCATGGCCACCAGAACTTCAAATGACACCCTATGTTTACTTAAGGGTTTCAGAGTTGAGTTCTGCTGTCCTGTCTGCTTTGGCCATGTGCATCCATGGGAGGCTCCATGATGAGATATGGACTCAGCTCAGAGATGAGAGCCCCAGTCTGATGGACCAGTTGAGCACCAATGCTATTCTTTCCCTTGCCAACTGTGTTCCTGTGGTGTGAACCCATCCTTCACTCACCAAGGTCTGAGCAGTGGCATCTTCTGGTGCTCAGGGCCTGGCTTGCAACAGATGTACAAAACTCAGTGCAGTGCCCCATCCTCACCTGGGTGTGACTTGTGGTTCAGGTGAGGATTCATGGAGGGTGGCCTGGAGCAGTTAGCCTAAGAGTTGAGCAGACGGGTAGGGGCAAGGTGCACTGAGAGGGAGATTGCTTACCTGTGCCCCCAGTGGTGGTGGCAGTGTTGATTTTGGTGGTCTCAGTGGAACCCTTCTCTGCTCTGGGTGGTACAGTGGGCACCGGGGAGGCCTGAGCATTCCATGATGCTGGAATCAAATGAGCAGTGGGCAGGTGAGGGTGAGAAAGCAGAGTGGACTGAGCAGCCCAGGGCTGTAAAAGACAATGGAAAAGAGGCAGCCAGGCTGGTGCAAGGGTGTGTTGTGTGGTGGCATGGAGAGAGACTGGATGTGGAGAGGCCTCTCAGCTGTTGCCTTTGCTAAGCCAGCTGCCTGCTTTCACATTTGGGGAAATATCCCTGAGAAAAGGAGTAAGTGTTGTGTTGGATTCATGGGGCAGCAGAGAAGGGGAAAGGGAGGACCAATGGTGTCTGGCCAGATTGGGAGGGGCCAGAGGAGAAACAGCCAGAGGGAGAAGGCTTGAGGGAGAGTACCAGATGGAGGAGGTGAGTGGCCAGAAAGGGAGCAGCCAAAGAGAGATAGTTATAGGGGAGAGTCTAGAGAGGGTGAGCAAGTTGGGGAGGACTTGAGGAAGGGGAAGGAGTGGTGGAGTCTGTGTGGGATACAGGGGATGGGCAGAGAGGGAAGACCTGAGCAGGATGACCAAAGGTATAGCAGAGTAGAGGCATCAGGTGGCAAGGGTACAGCACAGGGGATAGAGTAGGAGAGCAAGAATGGAGGGCCCAAAGGTGAAAGGATCCAGAGAAGACAGGCCAGAGGAGCAGATGAATTGGACAGAAGGGGCAGGGGCAGAGGGTGCAGAGCCATAAACACAGAAGGGAAGGTCCCAGTGAGGAAGAGACAAGACAGTGCTCCCAGGGGGATGGTAGGGGATTTCTCTAGTCCTGGTGGTCTTCATGATGGGGAGGTGTGGAAGATCCTCCAGGCCCATGCATACCCACCTGGCAACTGGAAAGTCTCATTTATGTTCTTATTGGTCTCATAGTGGTTGATGATGCATCTGTGGTGTTTGTCTTTCCATTCCGAGGCAGGGAAGGAGAGAAGGCTGGTCAAGGTGTATAATTCACCGATCCTTACTGAGGGGAAGGTCTTCTGGATCTGGCCCTGTGCCTCTGAGTGCCAGGTGACCTTCACCGGTTCTGGGACATATCCAGTCACCAAGCATGCCAGGTCCATGATGCTGTCTTCCTTTGGGGCTTTGCACCCTGAGATGATGGAGAACACGTCCGGGGGCTTGACAGTGACTGAAAAACAGACAATGCGATCCTAAGGACTTGGGGGTGCATATTAGGACCCCAGGAGGAGGTGGGCAAATGTCTAGGATGATGTCCGAGGAAGATGTATCTGGGTGAGCATTTGAGGCCCACGTGACTGCTCTTCTGCTGCGTGGGTAAGAATGACTAGGGGTCACAGCTGGCTGGGGCTGAAGGAAGCATCCTCTCTCCAGAGGTTGTGATGCCCTCTGACCAGTCCTGTGATCTTTCATCCCTCTGCCCCCCATCTCTTCTCTGAACCCTCCTTGAGCCTTGTGAGGATGAGGGGCACCCCAATTCAGGGAGGTATGGTCTTAGGGCCCTGTGGTACCCACTCAGGACTCTCGTTGATGGACCTTGGTTGGCATCAGGGCTCCCATTTCCCTGAGATGAGCCACAAAGCTGACTTTTATATGGTTCCCCACTAGTTGGTGGGGACCAATCCTTCTCTTTGTGAGTCTTGGATGCTTAAGACCTGTTTGAACCAGCCAGCTGTCACTCATGGATGCTACAAGGGGTGGCAGGTTCCAGTGTGGTAGTTTTGTACTGGACCTAGTGTCCTGGAATGTGATCAAGTAAATGCAGGGTCCCTGCCTGGACCCTGATGGCACTGCTCTGTCCCAGTCTCATGAGGCCTTTTCTACTGCCTCTGACCCTTATGTTCTCCCATGCCACCCCACTATTTGTGCTTAGGTGAACAAGACATGCTGTTATCCAGTTTGTTACACAGAAACTGCCTCTTTCTCTTCCAAACCCACAGTGACCCTTCCCCTGTACTTATATCTTTTTCCTGGGGCTCCTCCCCAGGACTCTCAGCCCACCATATCCTCCACAGCCTGTCTGTGGCCCTGCTCAAAATCTAGAGAGGCCCCATTACCTTCCCCACACCACCTCTTGGGCCTCTCTGGGTCATTCTCAATTCTCACTGATGTTCTGGGATGTTGGCCCCACCAGAGCCCCCCACAACACTGGCAGATATATGGGGGATGGGTGAGGTTATGGGTGAATTGCCCCTGCTACAGAATCATGTACTGAAGTACCAAGCCCAGGACCTCAGAACAAGCCCATGTTTGGAAATAGAGTCTGCAGAATCAATCAAGTTGAGATGTGCTCATATGAATCAGGGTAGACACTGAACCTAACAGGTCAAGGATCATTGAAAGGGGCAGGTGGGACTTAGATGCACAGAGAAAAGGCCATGAAGATGAGGTAATGGCTAGGCCTCTGCCTCTGGTTGATTCAACAGGCCAAGGAACATCTGACTGCCAAGACCACAAACCTAGGAGAGATTCCTGGGACAGATTGTCCCTGTGGCAAGCGAGAACTGGCCCTTTCCATGCCATGATCTCAGGCTCCTGGCCTTCAAGCTGGAAGAGAATCAAGCCCTGCTGCTCAAGCAGCCAACTGTGGCACTTTCTCCCAGCAGCCCACAGGAAATTAATACAGATTTTGGTATTAGAAATACTCTGATGATGTAACAATTACCTAAACATGTGGAAGTGAATTTGGAATTTGGTAATAGCCCCTGGACATCCTTACGACAACAAGCCCAAAGTGGGCTCCCACTGTTCTCTGCACCCCAAGGTGGCCCCTCCTGGGACCTGGTTCTTAAGACTGGTCCACACCAATGGCTCTGGGGTTTCCAAGGCCCCCTCCACCTCTTCTCTCCTTACTACTACAGTCCCCCTGAACTTTTTCCATGGTCTGTGAGCTGCCTCCAGCAGTCTACACCATAGCCAAGGGAGCCACCTCAACACTGCCCCTACCTTGCCTTTGCAGCACTCTGATCTATGGACTGAACTTCCATGACCCAGCTCCCCCTTACTGGGAGTCTTATTTCCATCCATCTTTCTTTGCCTCCTAACAACTGTTACACACTAAAGATTTGTGTCTCTGAATTCACACATTGAACCTTAAACCCCAGGGTGCTAATGTTAGGAGGTGTGGCATCTGAGAGCTGATTAGGGCATGTTGAGATTATTGTCTGGAGAAAAGCCCACAAAGGGAACCCTTGTCCCTTCACCAGATGAGGACACAGTGAGAAGGGACCATCTATGAACCAGGAAGAAACCTTCACCAGATAGGAATCTGTTGGCGCCTTAATCTCCAACTGTAGCCTCAAGAACCTTGAGAAATATGTGTCTGTTGATTAGGACACCCAGTCTTTGCCATTTTGTTATGGCAGGCCAAATTCACTGAGACAGTGGTTCACCCAAAACTTACTCTGACTTCCATGCTTCTGTCTACACCCACTGCTGCAGGTGACCAGCAACAATGACCCACAGAGCACAGTTACTGGAACACTGCAGCAGGGCAAGCACACCCCAGAGAGCTCAGCCAGCTCCTCTTGCATTCCAGCAGCACACGCCACATATGCCACAAAGGTTTAGGACAAGACCCAAAGTGTCCCTGCTTACTAGAAACAGTGCCAGAGAGAGAGATGGTGGTGGTGCTGTGCAGAGGCCCCGAGGCCTTACCCAGCTTCTGGATTCTCATTGTGTGTGGGAGACTAGGCCTAGAATTCTCCTGCTTCACCACCTTTCATCTGTCAGACTGGACAAGTGTGGCCTGGCCAGCCACATGTGTTACACCTTCTCCCTTTGGCCCTTTTCTGAGCATACCTTTGTAAATCCAGCCAGACAGCTCCCTTACCCATGGTTCCCTATGGAATTAGGGTCACTCTTCAGATGCACGTGCCACACAAAAAGTTGCAAAAGAAACAAAATCCTTCACCAGAAAGCAGTTTCACAAGATGAAATATCTGTTTATTTTGAGGTCACACATATACACGGCACAGAAGTGTTCAGGTAGACCTGCCACTGCAGGTGCCTCAGGTTGACAGGTTTTTGGCTAGTCTAGAAAGAAGCCTGTCTTACAGCTCAAAGCTGAAGGGTGACATAGGGAAGATCTAGGTACAAGTTTGCAAGCCACATAGTCCGAGCTACCCCAGGTCCAGAGATGGTATCCTGTGAGTCAGTGTCTTGGTCTTTGGTGTCCTTCCATGGGTGAGTCACTTTACCTGCAGGCAACAGAGACAGCATGAATTGTGTCCCCTTATAGTGAACAGAAGTGGGGACAGGGAGGACCTAGTGAGCCCCCAGGACTGCTGTCTGGTCACTGCCTTGCGGTGGCTCCTAGCACCCTCTCATTCCCAGCCATTCTACCTTGAACAGGGTGACGGTGGTGCTGTAGAAGAGGCTGAGGAGGAAGAGGACAATGAACGTGGAGGCGGTGGTCCAGAGGTTCTCGAAGCCCTCTTCCTCGGCGCTCACTTCGCCCTCTGTGAGGGGAACACAGAAGGAGGGAGGGTCATAGTGGGCAGATTTCCATAGCAGCAGCAAAGCCTGGTGCTGGCAGAGTACCTGCCTGCCGTCTGCCTTTGGGTTGGGAGAACCCAGGCTGCATCTGGAGGAGATTTAGCCTGCACAGGATGGGTCCCCTGACATCGCAGGCTGGACAGAGTCAGCACAGGCTAAGCTGCAGCAGACAGTGAAATGGGACCCAGGAGCCCATGTGGCAGACAGAGCAAGACAGATGTAGCAGGTGGCAGACATGGACAAGGGTAAAGGCAGAGGCAGTGACCCCTGTAGGGTGGTATTCTGTGTGTCCTGGAGTCTCCTTGAGCAGGTTTCAGAGCCAGGACCACTTGGGCTGAGAAGCAGGGAAGGTATCCCTGTCCCTTGTGCTTTGGTGATGGGCAGTGGGACGTTATACCCCTCCTCACTTCCTCTGCGGGACTCTGGCACCTTATCTTCCTCCTGGAGCAGAGTCACTGAGGGTGGCTGGTCCTAGCCTACTAGCACTAACAGCTCTTAAGACCAGGGGACAGTCAGACACCTGAGGGAGGCAGTGGACAAAATCATTCAGTGGGGTCCTGGACTCTGCACAGATGCACCCTTGGAGATTTCTGAAACTCAGGCTCCAAAGGCCCTACAGTGTGGGGAATAACTAGGATGCCATCCTAGGGAGGAAGCATATTCTGTTGGGTGTGAAGACCTCATTGAGGCCACTGTCTTCTGTGCCAGGGGCTTAGCCTACCCCAGGGCAGCTGCCTTATGCACCCTGGGCTGGGAAGCAAGGTGGGTATTTGTAGTCTGATAAGCTCAGATTGATCTGTGGTGTCCTACTAATGAAGGGGCAGCCGAGGGCACCCCTCTGTCGTCAGGATAGGTCTGGATACCACCTGCTCTGTCTAGATGTGGCCCAAACTCTGGCTCTGTTGCAGGTGAGTACTGAGGATAACTGCTGCCTCCATGAAGAAGCTAGAAAGGAGGATGCACTCTGTCCCTGGGGCACTCTCCCCTGAGCAAAGGCTGGGCACAGGCTGGGAGGCCTAAACACCAAAGCCCCGTGTAGCTCTCTAAGCCCTGGACCTGGGTGGTGACCCTGGTCAGAGTTCAGGCTCAGCTGGGCTGTGGAAGCACATCCATGCAGAGACAAAGGACAAGCAGAGCCATGAGTAGGAAGCGCTGGAGACAGCATTGTGCAGGAGTGTCTTCCAGAGGTACTGGGGACCATGGGGTGTGCGTGTGTGTGTATATCTGTGCCATGTCTATGCTTATGTGTCCATGTGTTGGTGTGTACGAGTGTGTGATGCTCACATGTAATTGCACACATGCATGTTCATGTACATGTCTATGATTACCTGTCTTCCATCTGTGTTTGTGTGTACACATGTGTTTAGAAGTGCTTGTGCCCATGTGAGTCTGTGAATGCATGTGGCCATATGTGTCTCTATGTACCTGAGGGGTCTCTTTACTTTTGTGTGTATTCATGTACTTTTGCATGAATTCATGTGCATGCCTGTGTGTCAGTGTGTCTGTCTGTATACACATCTGTGTGCGCTCATGAATGCATGTTTGTGCAAGTGGCTGTGTCTATACATGTGCTGTCTAAGTCGATGTGTTCATGTGTGCATGTCTGTTCATGTGTGCCCAGGTGTGTCCAGGCATGTGCCTGGATTGCTGCCTGTGCTGGCATGGACAAACTCTCAACCTTCTTTCTGAAAGTACCTGGAGGAGTGGCATGCGAGGTTCTGTGCACTTGCTGCAAGGTGTGCAGGGCCTTCTGGAGGCCACACAGAGAGGCAAGGGAGGGAGGAGCCAAGACGAGGGTGTTCTGCAGGGTGAAGGCAGGATGGGCAAAGAGCCCAGTCATGGCCGTAGCGGACAGGAGCATTGCACACTCAAGACCAGCATCTTTTGAATGGATCTTTTTATTTCTAATTTTTATAAAATGCAACATCTCAGCCCGCTGACACGGTTAGTTTGCACATACACACACAGAACGACTGGACCCCTAGGGCCTGCCTGGTGGGGGCCCAGCACGGTCAGTAACAGGTGCTGGCCGTGTCAGACACTATCAGGGACACATTGTACAGGGTGGGTTTACCGGTGGACTTGTCCACGGTCCTCTCAGTTGCCAAGAGCGGCAAGGCCTCATGGGCCACGACACAGGTGAAGCTCTCCCCTGAGTTCCACTCCTCCTCTGGCACGGTCAGGATGCTGTGTGCAAAGTAGAGGCCTGGGATCTGAGGCTCAGGCATCGGGGTGCTGGTCACATACTTGTCCGCGGACAAGGGCTGCCCCCTGTGCAGCCACTGCACAAAGACGTCTGGGGGAGAGAAGGCCTTCACCAGGCAGGTGATCGTGGCAGATTCTCGCAGTATCAGCTGTTCCCGGGCTGGTGGCAGCATATACACGGCAGGTGGGTGCTTGGCCACCCCTGTGAGCAAAAAGACAGTGGTAAGTTCAGGGTGGACATGAGGGGACCTGCCTCCAGAGGCAGGGGGAGGGTTCCTGGAGCACAGTGAGGGAGTGGGAGGGAAACTCACCTCTGGGTTTGGAGATGGTCTGTTTCAGTGGTGAAGGTAGGTCTGTGTGGGTTACAGTGCAGGTGAACTGCTCCCCAGACTCCCATTCTTCCACACAGACACTGGCTACACCCTCAGCGCTGAAGGTGCCATTGGGGTGGCTGGTGGAGATGTTGAGGTGGGTTTTCACTGGCTCACCACTCTGGCGTGTCCATGAGATGTTCAGACTTTCATAGGTGCCCAGGTCTGTGGCCAGGCAAGTCAGCTTGGCCGACTTTGTGTGGAAGATGCTGGCAAAGGAGGGGCGTATGGCGAAGACTTGGATGTCTATGGGTGGACCTACAGCAAAGAGAACACCAGTGTCAGTGGCTGGCTGGATGTGAAGTCAGGGAAGGTTTACTTTCCCCCTAAGAAAAGCAGCTGATTTGCAGAGCCTTTGGGGTCCTGCTTCTGGGAGACACTTGGCCCCCACCTGACCTCCTGCTCCTGCCTTTGCATTGGCTGTACTGGGAAGCCAAGGCTCAGGGAGCAGACGGCCATGTACAGGTGGCATCTGCTGTGCCTGAGTGGACACCTGTACATGTGGGGGTGCCCTGGCCTGGGGTGGTGGGTTTGGGAAAGGCCACTCACCAGCACTGCATGTTGAGGACACATTCTTTGTGAAGGTGAGCCCCCTGTGATCCACACGGCAGGTGAACACGTTCAGGTTCAGCCACTCGCTCTCTGTGATGGTTAGTGTACTAGTGATCTTGAAGGTGGATCCTTTTGCCTCAGCTGTCACCGGTTCTGTGATGAAGCCAGACTTCACGGGTTTTCCATCCTTCAGCCAGGACACTGTGATCTGCTTGGGGCTGAAGTCTGTGGCCTGGCAGATGAGACTGGACTTGCGTACGCCAGAGCCAGTAAAGGCATCTCGGGGTGGGATGAACACAGTCACATTGGGAGACTGCTCTGTAGTCACTGGAGTGAGGGGACAAAGCATCAGCTGGGCCTTGCCCAAGCCCTACCCTCTGATCCCTCCATGCCAGAGTTTCTGCCTGGGCTGGGTGGGGGTCAGCTCTCACCTGGAAAGGGCACTTGCAGGTTTTTGTTGTTGGAGCCATGCTGGACTTTGCAGACCAGGTAGTCATCTTTGCCCTCAAAGACGTCCTTGGGGGACAAGAGCACCTGGGAGGTAGCTGCATACTTGCTCCCTGCCAGCACTGTTGGGAAGGTCCTGATGCCCTTGCTGACCTCGGAGTTGTTCTTGTAGTTCCAGGAAAAGGAGATGGAGCTGGGCAGGAAGTCCCGTGCCAGGCAGCCCATGGCTACCAGATTCTCATCAGGCAGGGGGCCCTCGCAGGAGATGAGGGGGAAGACACTTGGGGCAGATGGGCTTTCTGGGAACCCGGGAGGGACAAAAGAGAAAGGGAGGGGTGAGAAGCTGTCTTCTCATGCTTGCAAGTCAGGAGCTCTGTCTATATTCACTATCCCACAGAGGCTGCCCCTGCAGGCTTCCAAGAGCTGACAGGACATGCTGTGGTAAGAGGTCCTAGGCTACTGGGGGAGGCTCCCATGGTCTCCCACACTAGCCATAGGAACCCAGCTTTGAAAGCCTAGGAAAACTAGGAGGGCTGCCTGTTGGAACAGGCACATCTGGCCTTCATCAGCCAACCCATCAACACTGATACCTGTATTCAGTCAGGCTGTGTTTTGATTGGCTCAGGCTTCAGTCTGGCCAGTTGGGCTTTCCTGTGGGACATTAGCCCAAGACATTAATGTGCTCAGCGCAGAGTCTAAGGAGCCCGAGGAGCTCAAGGGGCCCGAGGAGCTCAAGGGGCCAGGCTTCATATTTGCATGTGAACCTTGGAGCCACTTATCAGTCAGGCTGCCCACTCAGTGGATGAGCTGAGCAACACCCAGCCTGACCATGCTCAAAGTCACTCTGAAGCCTCTCCAGGTGGGCAGTCAGGGCCAGGTAGGGTAGGAGGGATGTGGTATAGAACGAGCTTGACCCTAAACCTAAGAACAGCAAGATCACAGTATCTGCCCAGAACAATGTCCACCAGGACCAAACAGCAAGGCCCACTCAGTCCAGTTGAACCCCCATGGCCCTGTTGAGGTCAGTCCAGCCCAAAGCAGCTAAAAACACGGTCTCTCCCAAGCCCTTCTTAGAAAATCTAGACTAGCTCAGCTCCATTCAGCACAGCTATGTCTAGCTCTGCTGACCTCGCTATGCCAGCTCACCTCAGCCCAGCTCAGCTCAGCTCACCCCTGCCCAGCAAATTTAACTCAGCTCAACCCAGTTCAGTTTAGCTCACTGCAGCTCAATTCAGTACAGTTCACCCCAGCCCAGCTCCACTCATCACAGTCTAGCTAAGCTCAGCTCACACCAGCCTAGCCCAGCTCATCCCAGCCCAGCTCAGCACAACTCACCCCAGCCCAGCTTAGCTCACCCCAGGCCAGATGAACTCTTCTCAGCCCAGCTCAGCTCAGCTCACCCCAAACCAGCTCAGCACAGCTTAGCTCGCCCCAGCCCATTTCAGCTCAGCTAGCTCACCCCAGCCCAGCAAATCCTAGCTCAGCTCAACCCAGTTTAGCTTAGCTCACCTCAGCTCAGCTCAGCACAGTTCACCCCAGCCCAGCTCAGCTCAGCCCAGTTCAACTCTCCCCAGCCAGCTCAGCTCAGCCCAGTTCAGCTCAGTTCACCCCAACTCAGCTCAACTCAGCCCAGCTCAGCTCAGCTTACCCCAGCCTAGTTCACCCCAGTCCGGCTCAGCTCAGCTCACCTAGGCCTGCTTACCACAGCTCACCCCAGCTCAGCTCACCCCAGCCCAGCTCACTCAGCCGAGCTCACCCTAGCCCAACTCAGCTCACCCCAGCTCTGCTCAGCTCATTCCAGCTCAGCTCACCCCAGCCTAGCTCACCCCAGTCTGGCTCAGCTCACCTCACCCAGCCTATCTCACCCCAGTCCGGCTCAGCTCAGCTCATCCCAGCTCAGCCTAGCGCAGCTTACCCCAGTCCGGTTCAGTATAGCTCACCCCAGCTCAGTTCAGTACAGCTCACCCCAGTCCAGCTCAGCTCAGCTCATCCCAGCTCAGCCTAGCGCAGCTTACCCCAGTCCGGTTCAGTATAGCTCACCCCAGCTCAGTTCAGCACAGCTCACCCCAGTCCGGCTCAGCTCAGCTCACCCCAGTCCGGCTCAGCTCAGCTCATCCCAGCTCAGCCTAGCGCAGCTTACCCCAGTCCGGTTCAGTATAGCTCACCCCAGCTCAGTTCAGTACAGCTCACCCCAGTCCAGCTCAGCTCAGCTCATCCCAGCTCAGCTTAGCTCACTCAGCCTAGCTCAGCTCACCCAGCTCAGCTCACCCCAGCTCAGCTCACCCCAGCCCAGCTTAGCTCACCCCAGCATAGTTCATCCCCACTCAGCTCAGCCCAGCTCAGCTTAGCCCAGTTTAGTTTAGCTGAGCTCAGTTCACCCCAGCACAACACAGCTCAGCTCAGCTCAGCAAGGCTTGGCTTGCCCAGCCTAGCTCACCCCAGCTCAGTTCAGCCCAGCTCAGCTCAGCTCATCCCAGTCTGGCTCAGCTCAGCTCAGCTCACCCCAACACAACACAGCTCAGCCCAGCTCAGCTCAGCTCATCACCCAGCCTAGCTCACCCCAGCTCAGTTCAGCCCAGCTCAGCTCACCTCAGCCTAGCTCAGCTCAGCTCACCCCATCCTATCCCAGCTCAGCTCACCCCAGCACAGCACAGCACAGCTCAGCCCAGCTCAGCTCAGCTCAGCTCAACTTGCCCAGCCTTGCTCATCCCAGCTCAGTTCAACCCAGCTCAGCTCACCCCCTCCCAGCTCAGCTCAGCTCTCTCCAGCCCAACTCACTCCAGACCATCTCAGCTCAGCTCACACTAGCCCAGCTCAGTTCAGCCCAGCTCACCCCAGCCCAGCTCAGTTCACCCAGCTTAGCTCATCCCAGCCTAGCTTACCCCAGCCCAGCCCAGCCCAGCTCAGCTCAGCTCACCCAGCCTAGCTCACCCCAGTTAGGTTCAGCTCAGCTCACCCAAGCCCAGCTCACCCCAGTTAGGCTCAGCTCAGCTCACCTAGCCCAGCCCAGCCCAGCCCAGGCTCAGTTCACCCTAGCTCAGCTCAGCTCACCCAAGCCCAGCTCACCCTAGCCAGGCTCAGCTCAGCTCACCCAGTCCAGCCCAGCTCAGCTCAGCTCACCCTAGCTCAGCTCAGCTCACCCAGCTCAGCTCACCCCAGCCTAGCTTACCCTAGCCCAGCCCAGCCCAGCTCAGCTCAACTCAGCTCAGCTCACTCCAGTCCAGTTCAGCTCACCACCCCTGCTCAGCTCAGCTTACCCAGCCCAGCCCAGCTCAGCTCAGCTCACCCTAGCTCAGCTCAGCTCACCCAGCTTAGCTCACCCCAGCCTAGCTTACCCTAGCCCAGTCTAGCCCAGCCCAGCTCAGCTCAGCTCACCCAGCCCAGCCCAGCTCAGCTCAGCTCACCCTAGCTCAGCTCAGCTCGCCCAGCTTAGCTCACCCCAGCCTAGTTTATCCTAGCCCAGCCCAGCCCAGCTCAGCTCAGCTCACCCCTGCCCAGCTCAGCTTAGCTTACCCCAGTCCAGTTCAGCTTACCACCCCAGCTCAGCTCAACTCACCAGCCTAGCTCACCCAAGCCGGGCTCAGCTCAGCTCACTCAGCCCAGCCCAGCCCAGCTCAGCTCAGCTCACCCTAACTCAGCTTAGCACACCCTAGCTCAGCTCAGCTCACCCAGCTCAGCTCACCCCAGCCTAGCTTACCCTAGCCCAGCCCAGTCCAGCTCAGCTCAGCTCAGCTCACCCCAGTCCAGTTCAGCTTACCACCCCAGCTCAGCTCAGCTCACCCAGCCCAGCCCAGCTCAGCTCAGCTCATCCAGCTTAGCTCACCCCAGCCTAGCTTACCCTAGAGCCCAGCCCAGCCCAGCTCAGCTCAGCTCACCCTAGCCCAGCTCAGCTCTGCTCACCCCAGTCCAGTTCAGCTCACCACCTCAGCTCAGCTCAGCTCACCAGCCTAGCTCACCCCAGCGGGCTCAGCTCAGCTCACCCAGCCCAGCCCAGCTCAGCTCAGCTCGCCCTAGCTCAGCTCAGCTCACCCAGCTTAGCTCACCCCAGCCTAGTTTACCCCAGCCCAGCCCAGCCCAGCTCAGCTCAGCTCAGCTCAGCTCAGCTCACCCCAGTCCAGTTCAGCTCACCACCTCAGCTCAGCTCAGCTCACCAGCCTAGCTCACCCCAGCGGGGCTCAGCTCAGCTCACCCAGCCCAGCCCAGCTCAGCTCAGCTCGCCCTAGCTCAGCTCAGCTCACCCAGCTTAGCTCACCCCAGCCTAGTTTACCCCAGCCCAGCCCAGCCCAGCTCAGCTCAGCTCAGCTCAGCTCAGCTCACCCCAGTCCAGTTCAGCTCACCACCCCAGCTCAGCTCAGCTCACCCAGCCCAGCTCACCCCAGCCGGGCTCAGCTCAGCTCACCCAGCCCAGCCCAGCTCAGCTCAGCTCATCCCAGCTCAGTTCAACTCAGTTCAGCTCACCCAGCCTAGCTCACCCCAGCTCAGTTCAGCCCAGCCCAGCTCAGCTCACCCCAGCTCAGTTCAACTCAGCTCAGCTCCCCCGTCTGACTCAGCTCTGCTCAGCTCACCCCAACCCAGTTCAGCTCAGCTCACCCGAGCCCAGCTCAGCAACAGCTTTTTCATTCCATTTATCTCAGGCAGTCTTACAAGCCTGGTTCTGCCCTGTCGATTTCTGAAGGTTTGGTGGAATGATAGTGGACAGCAGGGTCAGCCCAGTGGACCCTTCTCAGCTAAAGCCATCCCATTGTCAAATCCTGAACAGCTGTTGCCTTCCACCTCTGCCCACTGGTATTCCACGACCTGGTCTCTGCCCTATTGCAGCTGGCTTTAGGCTCCCAAGCAGTATCATTTACCACCACCCTTTAACAACCAGGTAGAATAGTTCTAGACATTCATAAAATTCATAAAATTCATTAAAATATCTTGAGATTTAGATCAAGAATGTAGAAGCATATCCAATGAAAATCTCTAGAATCCATAGCATTGTCTGTGCTCTGCAACTCCCAGAGCACCTCTTAGCCCAGATTCCTCCCTGCTGAATCTAAATTAGCCCCTCTGCCAAGTTCCCTCTGCATTAAGACTATTATTAACAACTATGAGGATATGCATTTTTTTCTAAATTTGCCACTAACATTCTTCTGGTTCTCATGAAGCTCCTCAGAACACACAGTAATGATGCAAAATTCAAAGCTGCACTTAGACTTAAATGGAGACAGTTTCAAGCACCAGGCGCAACATAATCAATGTTGATACCATCCATTGCAACAGGGAAGCCCATGCCCATTTCTCCTTGACAAGTCCTTAGGGAAAGTTAAATGTCAATGACCCAGACAATGGTCTCAAAGGACTCACATGCAAGCCTCCCATCTTCCTGAAACAATACTAAGACTGATTCCTCTTCAAATAGAAGCAAACATTCAACACAAACTTGTAAGAGCAGCACACTGCCGTGCTAGCTGCCTCACGCTTACCGTGTCAGATGCCTGGTCACTGGGAGGTCCGGGGTCTTTGCATGGAATAATTCCTCCAGGTCCACTAAAACTGGCTGATTCATCATGAATAGCCAGTTGGCCTGGTGGCAGAAGCCACAGCTGCACATTCCCAAGTCTGGGTGGCCTCTGGAGACTGAAAGCCGAAGCTTGGTCCAGCACCAGACCCTCTGCCAGCACTCCTCCACAAAAGCTGGGCCAAAGCCCACCCGAAACAAAATCTGTCCTTCTAAGTGGTCCTAGATTCTTTTCTTTTGCACTCCCTGGCAGGGTTTCCTTTTAATCCGCCAACTAATATATTCAGCTAAAATAGTCCAAGACAACTCTATACAATTAACCTAAATCTATCCTAAAATGAATACTCAAAAAGTGGTCTTGAAAAATAATTCTGAAGGCATCTCTATCAGAATATCAAAGTGCTTCTTATTAACCATAAAAAGAAAATTGGATTAGCTTAAAAACTGTGAAGTTACTGTAAAATTATACTTCTGGTATTGGAAGAAGGGTTGAGATTAATTACCATATGGAAGAGTAACAGAATAATTAAAAAACACATTTCCAAAAAACATTAGAAATAAACTACCACTTATACTGTTCAATTTTTTGCACAGCTCAAACTTTGAAAATGAGTGTAATTTAGAAGTTGATAAGCTAAGGTTGAGAACTTGAATTCACATAGCTCAAAGAGGATATTTTCAGTTTCAGCAGCGCCCTCACTCTATTTTAGAAATGCAAATTACCCAGGTGTTGTTTTGCTTAGCTGGAACTTTCAGATCTGTGAAAAACATTTCAAAACAACCTCTTCATAACCATAGCTATAAATACACCTATGGTGGTTTTTCTTACTTCCCCAAATAGATTCTTGATGTGATCTGCTTCCTGCCACCTGCTGCAGGTGTTCTGGGCCTGACCAGGCCATCTTGACTCCAACTCACCATCCGCTCCTGGCATCACTCAATTAATTAAAAAAATAAACTTGATTTACTATTGTCAAAACTCACAGACCCACATTCCTATTCCTTGGCCAAACTCTCAGGAATACCAATTCCAACATGACTCACGGTTGTTAACTGAGTGATAAGAATTTTAAACACTAGGACATTTAAAAAATTGAATATACTCGACAATTTCTCACATTTCTAAGTCATAATTTTCTTAGCCATTTTTCTCAGCAGTCAATTCAAAGACATTTCGCCTTCTAATTTTTAGTAAGCATTTTCTCCCAGATGAAGTCCTCACAGAGCTGGGTTCCCTCAGCCTTCCCAGGTCCCCGTCTAGACAGCAGCCACCCTTTCTGGATGCCCAGCACCTGTTCTCCCCAAGACCAAGGCCACAAGTCCTCATCACTGACTTCATTCACCCGGAGTTTTCTTTCTAGCTAATAAAGAATTTAAAATATAATCTAGCACAGAACATTTCTTATATTTCTTATAATTTCTAAAGAAAACATTCCCTCTGCACTCTCTGTGTGACCATCCTGCTGCTCTACAAATGCTGTCACTGGGGTGCATTCCCCAGCCACCATTGTGACTCCCAAACTGAATGTCTCCTCTCATGGCCTCAAATGTTCTCCAGCCACAGAAGCTTTTCAGCATCTCACCCCAACATGGCCCTCAAGCCCCCAAGTCCGAGTTCCAGGAGCTCAGTCTCTGTGTCTGACATGTCTGCCCTTATTCCAATTTTCTAAAGGCATCAGAAAACCCATGGAGGCTCTAAAATCCTTAAGGCACCCCTGTTCCCAGCTTCTCTCAATCAGCTTGCCCAGGTCCCCCCAGGACCAGTCTACAATGCTCAGAAAACCCCATAAAAAAGAGCAGAGAATGAAGACCCCGGAGAGGCCATTCTTACCTGAGGAGACGGTGACCAGGGTCCCTGGACCCCAGATGTCCATACCGTAGTAATCACAATGGTGGAGTCCCCATTAGCATCTCACAAAAACCCTGGTGCCTGGCTGGTGTCACCCTAGGCTGCCAGACTCCTATCCTCTCTGGGCACCACACTGGAGCGGCCAACCAAGTCAGTATTTTTGGGTCTCTGTGTTCCACTCCTTATCTGGGCCAGACACTCCTGGAGCCCTATGTGGCCCCCTAGGAACCCCACATTCTAGCTTGGTCCCTCAGAAACTGCTAATTCACACAGGAGTCCAGCAAACTTTGGACAACCTGCCCCAGAGAGCGGGGCCTCAGACCCGGCACAACCTGGTCACACAGCAGTCATGATATCCCTGATTTTGCTTGACGGAGCAAGGAGACAGTGGAGACTCTTGTCCCAAGCCTCTGCAGCTCAACTTAAGAACAAGGGTGGCTGGATCTCCAACTCCCATTTGCAGGAAACCTTCTTCTGGCTCCCTTTCCTGACTTCCAAAATGCCTCGGCTGCTTGACCCCAAGACTCAAGGAATTAGACACAATTAGACTGGGAAAGGGCAGGACTCACCTGAGGAGACAGTGACCAGGGTCCCTTGTCCCCAGTACTTGTCACATTGTGACAACTGTGGCAGACACCAGACAAGAACTGGTGCCTGACTAGGGTTTCAGGACCACCTCAGATCAAGCCCAGTGAAGGATCAGAGAGGACCCCAGTGGCCAAGGGTGGCCGGAATCCCTGAGAATCCCCTGGCTGCAGAGTCTGAGAACTGAGGATGTCTGTCTGCAAGAGCTGGGCATCCTCAAAGACCCCTTCCTGAGCCCCAGGCTGCCCTGGACCTTCCTGGCTTGAGACCAAGGCACACTCATTTTGCCCCCCGCAAAATGCAGTGAAAATCCCCTGAATTAAGTAGGGGAGAGAGGCTGTAAGGACTCACCTGAGGAGACGGTGACCAGAGTTCCTGAGCCCCAGTAGTCGAAGTAGTCACACTGCCACAGAATCTCTTAGAGGGTGTACAAAAACCTGACTCCCCCACCCCATGCCTGGCCAGTTGCAGCAGGAGACTTGTTTCCTATGGTCATCATGGTCCCATGCACTGTTCAACCTTCACTCTGAGCAAAGTATCCTTATCCCATTTACAGAGCCCAGCAGCCTTAAGAGGAACCCCATGGGCTCCAGACAGCTCTGCACAGACAAGAGGCCTTTGGGAAGTCTCTTTCCCAGTTCTAAGACGTAGGAAGACTAAGAAGGCAGAAAGAAGCTGACTTACCTGAGGAGACAGTGACCATAGCTCCTTGGCCCCAGACATCAAAAGCATAGCACAGAGACACAGTCCCTGCTGCTACCCAGGCAAAATCACAAACTCCCATAGGCCACTCAGATGGACCAGACCAAGACACCCGAGCACAAAGCAGAGACAGCTGGCCTCCATGCCCAGCCACACAGACCCCAAGGCTGATGTCAAGAACCTGGGCAGATGGTGACTGCAGAGCCCTGACCCCAAGTACATAGCCACACTTGTACAAATGCCAGCCTTGACATCTTCCCAGTCCCTGTCCCTGGGCTGCTTTCTGCCCGGCGGGGCCCCTGCTTGTCCTTGGGAGACACCTGAGTGCCCACTGAAATCATATACAGACTCACTACAGACCCCAGGGTCCTGACCCTGTGTGCAGTCAGAGAAGACAAGGGTCCAGCAGGGGGAACTCACCTGAGGAGACGGTGACCAAGGTGCCCTGGCCCCAGTAATCCAAGTACCAGTAGCACAGCATCTGCTCTCCTAATGCCCCCATACAGAAACCTCACCACCCTGCCTGGCTCAGACCATCTGATACTGTTGTCCCCATATGCAGGACTCACCTGAGGAGACGGTGACCAGGGTGCCTTGGCCCCAGAGGTTGAAGTAATCATAGGCCCAGTGAGCTGGCCCTGCAGCTAGGGCTACAAAAACCCAGCCCCAGGGAGCACCAGGCCTCAGAGAGTCTGCTCTTTGCTTAAAGAGATGGCCACACCCACCCTGTACCCCAGCAAACTCCACCTGTCCATCCTTGGTTTCAGGAGACCAGTGGCCCTGCTCTACCCTTCTGATGCCTGTATCCACTCTCCCCCTCCCAATCCCAGTGCCCCAGTCCCTGCCCAAGACACTCTCCCTGTGTGCTGCCTTCTGTCCCAGGGGGAAAGCTCCCCTCACTTCCCAGATGTCCCATGGAGCCCTGCAGGCTGCTGTGGGAAAGCTTGTAGTGGGGGTTTTTGTAGAATGGTCAGTCACTGTGGTTCCGGTTATCACTGTGGCTCCATGCTCAGCCAAAACCTCATCCACAGAGCACATGGGAAACTCTACCCCCCGACCCTTATCATCATCCCTGAGTTAGCAGCAAATGATTTCCCTATTAATGACCATGAATGTCCTGGAGGCTGTCCAGGCTTTTCCTTCTCTTTTAGAAATTAGAGCAGATGTGAGGCAGGTCCACCTCTCCTATGTCTCTCACTTGCATTTAAATGTTTGCAGCTGCAGACAAAGGCCTGCCATGGTGGTGGGAGGCAGTGCCCCTTCCCCGGGTGGCCATGGACTCCCAGGATTCCATGGGAATCTTCTCAGTGCTCCCTGGGGTCCCATGCCCTCAACCTTGCCCAGCTGCTTTGCTCTTTCTGATCCCATCTGTGGAGCAGGACAATAGTGCAAATTTTCCTGCTCAGTGTTCTCCCAGTGGTTGGCCATGTCCCTTCCTGTCTCCTCTGGATCTGCAGGCCCTCAGTGAGGGGGCATGTGTCAGCTATGCCGTGGACAGGTGCAGAGGGAGGGTTAAGGTGGTCTAGGGGAGAGGACCCTCCCTCAGACCTGCACAGGCTACCTTTGCCTGACTCTAGTCAGTTGGTCCCAGGGAGGGGAGGAGAGGCGACTGTGAGACTTTGGGCTGGGGCTGGGCTCCACCGGTATGTCAGGAATAGGCTGTCAGGTAAGTGGGGAGGCATGCAGCTTCTCAGGCCAGGTGTAATCACCGTAAGTGAGCTCATGCATAGACCACCACCAAGGGAGACAGAGGGCACAGAGCAGCAGCAGATGGGAGGGAGCCCCTGAAGTCCTGCTGGGGGAGGGGGATGGGTGATGGCATGCAGAGATGTCTGAGGGGGGAGGGAGGGGAGCTCCAGGCAGTGGAACAGCTGGCTGAAGCAAAGCCCAGAGGCTGGAAACTGTGTGGTTGATGAGGCTGAAGAGGAGCCCATCCAAGGGGCTGAAGGGAGTGGAGCATTTCACTCTAGGAGGATCCACCTGGTCCAGTGTGGCTGGGATGGGGCCCCTTGTCAGGGGGAAGCCTGGAGGTACAGGCAAGGTTAGGGCTGCCCTTGGGGTGTGGGCTGAGTGGGGACTGAGTGGGCCCTTGGGCTGTGGGGCTCTCTCAGGGGTATGGGCAGTACAGGGGAACCCTGAGGTGATGCTGGGGGGCACGGGGTCTCTCCAGACGTGGTTGGATAGTCATGACTCTCGGGGCACAGGTGGGGTGGGGGATGAGCAGGAGGGCGGTGGCTGTGGTCTGGGGTCCTGGGGACATAGGTGGGGTGGAGGAGGAACAGGTGGAGGAGTAGGCTGTGTCGTCCAGACTCCCTCACCCCATGCCTGGACCTCTGGAGCACGGGGTGGGCGAGAGGAGAGGGTTGCACCTCCTTCTCCTCTGAGTCTTGCACTCTGGAGGAGTTCCAGTCTGTTCTTTGAAATTCAGTACATGGATGGGGTCCTCAAGCTTCTAGCACCTTCTCAGAGGCTCTTTCTCTTGTGGTCTCTGCCTAGGGCCTTTTTAGGGGGGAGGATGGGGTAGGGCTTCCCTAGGCCCTTCAGGAAGCACCTGCTTCTGTTGTCTGGTGCCTCAGTTCCTGACTGGGAGAGGGTAGGTGCCCATCATGCCTTGCCCAGCCCCCAGCCTAAGCCCATTGACCTGCTTCTTCATCTATTTCAGAGGAGCAGCCAAGCAGCAGGCAACATCTGCCTGCTGAGATCCTGGTCATCTCTTGCAGTGCAGCATGTCCTATTGGTCAGTGTGAGGGGAACTGACCTCCTAGAGGAAGCCCTGGACTGCCTTCCCTGTTTCTTCTTGCAAAGCTGTGGAGATTTCCAAGGGTCAGAGTCCCCCCCCCACCTCCATCAATATGTAGCTCTTCTGCAGCATCCATGACCCTGTTCTGGAAGCATGTCCTGGTCTACCAAACACAGGGTAGGGAATGCCAGGGAAGAGACATATGTGTTATAGGCATGTGCTCCGGTGTGTGCCAGGCGTGGAGACTGGGTCAGTGCAAGGGGAGGGGCAAGAGATGGGTATACTGGCCTGGATGAATTGGCTTTCCAGTTTCTGTCCACAGCAGGAGTCTCCTAGGGACCACCGTACCCCACCCCACCCTGCCCCTCCTCATCACACCATATCACATCCTTCCTAGGCTGGAACACACCACCTGGAAGGTGCCTCCCTCCTGGCATGGCTGCTCTGAGTTGGGCATGGAGGGTTTGGCCCTGAGTGCTGGTGGAGAGGGAGATCAGGCCACTCAGCTTGCTATGGGTAAAGGACAGGTCCATTCAAGATCACCTCAGAACAATTGCTGAGCTGGGGGTGACTTCCTGGCTGGGATGGGAAAGAGAGCTTGAAAAGTAGGTAGGAGCAACTTTCGTCTGGTCATGAACTGGATTAGAAGAGAGGTCTAATGGGCAGAAAGCCAGGAGGAGAAATCACTTTGCTTTATATCTTGGGTCAGAGACAATACAAGGTCACAATGGCTACTACAGCTGGGCGGGAGACATTATGGAAGGAAATAAAGGAATTAAGTGAGAAGCAGCAGATTACCCCTCCTCTGACACCAAGCAAATGACAGGAGCAAACAAGACTAAAAATGAGAAAGAGAACAGACAGGAAGATTTGAACTCATACTATGAAATCCAGAAGCTGATGGTGGAAGAGAGAACTCTGAAAGACATTAGTGCCTCATTCATGGCTCTACTCTACAGGCCAGAGGCAGGGATTAGGGTGTAGACAGTCCCGAGAAGTCCAACAAGGGCCCCCAGATTCTGGAGGAAGAAGACTAGTAGGATAGGGACGGTTTCAGCTGTAGGTGGCAGAGCCCAGTCAGCATGCAGAGCTATGGCTGACACCCATGTGTCACCCACCAGGAAGCTCCCACGACAAGCCATGGGGGTGTGGGGTACCATGTGTGTGCATGTCTCAGCCTTTCCTTCAGAAGAGAGTGGCCACTGCAGCCAGAAGCAGCTGAGGTAGAGGGCAAGGCAGGTAAAATATTCTCATGTATGCTCTCTGGCCTTCTAAACAAGAGCAGAAGTCCTTGTTTCCCCCATATCTCCTTGTCCAGAATGTTGTCACATGCCCATGACCGAGCTGTCCCCTAAACCCAGAGTGCCTCCTTCCTCTGAGATCCAGGGAAGATGTACTGCTATCTGCCCTTCGTTTTAGCCTCTTTTCTCTTTAGGGCATGAGCTGGCTGCTCCTGAGAGCTGCGGAGCAACTGTGGTGGAGTCTCAATGATGGAACAGGAGCTCCAGGTCAGAATCTGAGGGAGGCTCCCTATGACAGTGAGACTGCCTGTCTTTTTGGTGCTGTAGCCTGGATGATCCACAAGTTCTGAGAAGACCATGGCTCACCCCCATCATCCTCTCCTTTGTCTTAAGATCAGAGTAAATCAAGCCAGGTTGGATGCTTTGCCAGCAGCACCCAGAAGGGAAGAGTGTGGCCCCAGGTGGGGCAGAGACCTGTGTGGAAAGGAGAGCCTTGCTCACAGTCTGTAATGCATGCACTTGCATTGCTCAGTCTGGTCAGCACAGATCTGTGTGGGACAGGAGAGCCTTGCTCACAGTCTGTAATGCATGCACTTGCATTGCTCAGTCTGGTCAGCACGAGCTGAAAACACTTGGTTTTCCTCCTGAGTGTTGCCCTGCCTCTGTCTTTTCTCTCTTCTCAAGCTTTCTGTTGACTCTTTCATTTGT